TAGGGATCCTATTGATCTGCTCTGAAACACGAGATACGACCAATGGCTGTTTTTTAGAGGTGAACACGCAGACTGTTTCCTTTGTAGGGTTATTATTCACCGCTGGCGCAGTGGCTGGGCAACTGGCTGTTGTGTAACGTGTCGCGGGTTCGATTCCGCACGGAACAGCACTTTGTGTGATCCACTAATTGTGGTTTCGGGTCTGGGTGTGATGTGTATGTGAAATTATATGTTTGTAAACTCACCCACGACACAGGAGAATATACTAGTGGGGCAAAGATTTTTTTTAAGTTTTATTGGACCAAATTAAGACTAAATTCAAATACACGTCTGTTTCGATTCTCGATGACGTTTTCTCGAAAAATGTTAGCACGGCCGAAGTAAACGGCAGCTATGCTATTATCCGCTTAATAATAAATGACACTGATTTCTGATCTCCTCTTTATCAATGTAACATCACATGGATAATGAGGAGAAACGGGGCGATGGGCGATAGCATGCAACCTTGAGAGACACCAGCTTTAAGAGACAAGTAGTCAGAGCTATCATCGTCGACCACCAACCTTATGCTTCTATCTGCAAGGAAGCAGGAGACTTTCTTGGGAAGCCCATAAGAAGCGCTCTATGCCAAACCCGATTTCAAGCGTTCAACTTGATCCCCGCTGTAACTATTTTGAAGGACCTAGAGGCAGTTTTGTTTTTGGATGACTACATCAACCCCAGTGCTAAACTACGCACTCAAACGCTCCCAGGCTCCGCTTTATGGCCCCCAGACAGGGCAACGAAGACTTATAATATATAATTCGAAACATCCGCATATGAAGTCTTATATATATGTATATGATTGCATCGTTGAGGGCACCCTCTGTGGGGTCGAACCCTGTGGCTCAGCAGTGCCACTGAAGAGGGCCAGCAAGTGGGATCAGGGGGCGTATTACAACCTTTTTAAAATCCAGTTTGTTTCCTGGCAGGTCAGTTTAAGGCCGTAAACTGCATGGTCCTTTTTCGTATTATGACGTACGTTTTTCTGACTGGATTCATCCTGGATGATTGTCTGTGGTTGGTTTGCACCGTCTTGAAAGATTGCGTTCGAAAACATCTTAAAAGGGTTACTGGTATATTACGGTTTTTGAAAATTGAATGTAATATATTATATAATGTAATTTCCTAACAGAATCGAGATTAAGAATGAGTTCAAAAACGAATTATGTATTATATGCGTAAGTACAATGTCATAAATATGAAAATACAGCACTGTCTCACAACATACATTTTTGACATACGCTACATTTCTGAACGTAAGTAATGGTAGGTAGGATAGGTGATAACAGCTCACCCGGCAAAAATAAAAGTTTTTTGTTATAATAAGGGTTTTTTAACTAATGAAGTCCATTTATTTTATATACTTTGCTTGAATATGAGGTGAATTCAATAATTTCGTAATCTGCTTTATCACCACGGACACTGTAGGCTGCGCTACAGAGTGTGCAGATATATCACCAACAGGGCGTTGATACGACCCCGTAGCATAAAATGATAATGCAATTAACACCTGAAAGAATAATTAATTTGTAAGTTTATTGATTTCATTAACAGTACACATACCCAAGATACAGAATCTAAGACTAAGTAATGGCTAAATCTATTATAATTTGAACAAACTCTAAAATTACCAACCTTCCTTTCAATTGGTAACCTTGTAGACCCAGTAGCTGCATGAGGTCGCAGTTCATCGCATAAGTTGTGGACTAATTGCTTATTAAGCCTGTATCGCTTAATAAATTCAACATCTCCAATCGCAAAACGGTCACTAAGATCTCGAAGACGCGTCCTCTGAATGTTTGTTTGGTGGTTATCTTGTGACGCATCACTTTCAAGAAACTCGAAGATTATTAACTCATCACACATATTTAATGTTGTAGTAAACAGTATGTGATAAAAAAAATTATTATTAAAAAAACAAAATACCCGACTGCACACTAAAAAAAGAGTAAAACAAGCCCCACAATACAAATTTACTGAATATAATTTATAAATGTTGATGGAAAGCATCGCAGGCGGGGACCAACAGAGGCTTATTTATAGTCATTTCTGTTGTGCACCATTTAGCAGAATTTTCGTTGGTGGCGGTCAAGGTGGTCCCCGCCTGCGATGCTTTCCATCAACATTTATAAATTATATTCAGTAAATTTGTATTGTGGGGCTTGTTTTACTCTTTTTTTAGTGTGCAGTCGGGTATTTTGTTTTTTTAATAATAATTTTTTTATTTATAACTTTTTAGCTGTTTTTATTTTTTTATTAATAATTATTATTATATTATTAATTAATATGAAGAATTTAAGAAAGAACCAAAAAAAAGAACGGAAGAACGAGTTAATTAATAAGAAAGAACGAATGAATTTAAAGAGAGAAACACGAAAGAAAAGGAACGAGTTATTTATACTTTATAAGTTTCGCGTCAGACGACGAAGTATCGAAAAAATCGCTATTTAAAGACGACCGTCAACGACGTGTGCCCTTATGCGTGTGCCCGCATTCGGGCTGTATACTCGAGCATATCCCCCTCCGCACCGCGCCGCGCGCCGCATGCCAGGCCACGCCCTATCTTTTTGCTTGCTAACCATCGATCACTAATAAAGAACTAGATACACAATCAGTGGCAAAAAAATGTCCCAACTGAAAGTCCACCAAACTCAACATCGCGGTGTAGTTTTAGTTTAGTACCACTCGAATGCTCCGACGGTAAACACGCCTCAGTGCTCGTTAAAAAACTGCAAAAACACATACATCTAAGATGCAAAAAAGGAAGGAATTTCATATTTTCGTTTAGTCATAATATTATCATTATATAATTGTCATCATTCTATTTTAAATATTGATATTTTATTAAGAAATTAACTTTAAACTTTTTCCAAATGAAATCGTATTCAAAAACCGGGGTTATAATGCACACAGTTTATAAAGACACTTATACTAAACGTAAAATCATTCTCTAGCATGACCACTTAAGTTGTTCGGTTTACGTGGATTGATTCTGTTCCGTTTAGCGGAGACGCTATTGTTCCTAATTTTATATATTGTTTTTTTTTATTAAAAAATAGTTTTTATTTAATATTATAATTCTTTACTGTGTTTATTAAAATATGGAATAGGCAGATATAATGGATTTAATTTTAACTGCAGTAAAGACATTTTTTTTAGCTTTCATCAAAATCCCGTGCGATATGAAAAATTTACAACAATAACGCCAACATTTTCAGTACTTACTTTAGATATATATTCTTTTTATTATTTTACATCTTTTTTATTTGACTTCGAATAGAAAGGATTAAGGAGGACGAAAATAAAAAAAAAGAATTATAACTATATGCATTAGTTTCATTGGTAAATAAATGAACAAACCTATAGAAAAGAATACTATAAGTAATGCGTTTTAATTTGCGTATTTTCTAAAGAAATATTATAAAGAAATATATTTCTTACGAGACATTTCGACTCCAATCATTCTTTGTCCTAGCGGTGAGCCGAAGTCGTTAAATTTTATTGCTTATTTTTGACACTTTGTAAATTCGACTTAAAAACATGCGAATATGGTTCAATTTCTTATGATTTGTGTTTGTCAAGAGCTTCGGTCGCAAAAAGTATTAAGATTTTGTACATCACTTTGTAAAAACAACTCTATGAGTTGCATTTAAGGTTTAATTTACATTAATGCATTTTTATTTCAAGTATAAGTACCTAAATACAGTTGGCGACAGTTTTGAAGCGAACTTTTGTATGGGATTGTGTATCTAGTTCTTTATTAGTGATCGATGTTGCTAACGCATGAGTTGCTTTGCGTTGACGCAGAATTAACATGTTCCCGTGGGAATTTTGAGAAAAAACGTATCCTATATTAATTACTCCCGTGATTGAAATGAATCTAATGATACCGCATACATATTTTTTTAAAGGGAAATTTAGAAAAAATATTATTATGTCTTTATCCCGTGGGACTTTTAGGATAAAATGTATCCTATGACACTCCCGTAATCAAGACAAATCTAACGATACCTCATACATCAAAATCCATCAAGCCGTTTAGGCTACAGGAGGTCACAAAGGAACAGACATACATACATACTTACATACACTCGAAAAACATTACCCTCCTTCTTTGGCAGTCGGGTAAAAACTTAAAACAATTCAGTAAAAGCTACTCGACACCGGCGTAAACTGACTGGTTTGTTTGACACAATTTTTGACATTTGAGCAAGCTAAGAAATTTCAGTTTGGCGGTCATAATACCTACGGGTTTGCCAGCCAATATACGTGCAGAAATCGGTCAAGTGTCACGTGACTGCTAACTGACTGGCAATAAGACGTCATAATACGGATAAACAAGGCAGTTCATTTTAAGGTGTAAATTGACTGGAATTAAGAGATCGTAATACGCCCCCAGGATGAGTCGGATTATTTTATTACCAACCGCTGGCTGGAGTTATTAAATTTTCATTGTTTTAGGCCACAAATTCGGAAGATTTTGTGTTATTCTAAGATGTCAATCCTTCTTCCACCTAGCGCCACCAAAACAACGCCACCGGTGGTGTTTTATGGGATCTCTAGTCCGTATAACACAAACCAAATTACTTAACCAGTCTACGACAAACTATTCCAATTCTATAAAAATATAATGTTTCGAAATTTTATCATGGGTCCATTTATTTTTCGCATCAGTGTAGATAGATGTAAACATACCCGTTGGTGGAAAACTCTTTTGATATTACAACGTTATGACTATCTTCCATAGAGCTTGCACTTCGCATACACCGAGGCATAGGCTGGATGTAGAACAGAACCTGCTCATACTGAATTTAGTACACCACAAGATAAGTCGATTATCTGCGACCAGATTCGAATAAAGTATTACTGATACTCTCTTTAAGAAAATAAAAACAACAACTTGGACTTTTTACTATATTTGTAACAAAACAAATGCCACTTCACGACACACAGACTTCCTACACACGAATAATTTTAGTTCCTGGTTCCCATTTGTAGCTGCTGAATCCACTTCGAACCTTCTTGACGATACTATTCACAACAGACGGCTTCTTCACAGTTTCCATGGACGTATAATAAACAATATTGGTGGAGGGGTCGCAACTCAGACTCTCCTCCGACCTTCTGTGTGACACTTCAGAAAAAGTGTCCTGACTGACTTCGGAATTAGACCTATGGATCCCCGAATGAGACCTATCTAGGCTTTGAACTTGAATCTTCCCATCTTCAGATACCATGTCGACTCTATTGAGAGATCTACGATTTAGGATGCCTGCGCAGCTGTGGAATTTCGAAAACTTGTCGTGCACGCGGTGTTCCAAGTCCACGTGCAGGCTTAGCTGCCGTCTGCAAAAAATAACAAAAGTTTAAGTGCTGCAAAACTCTTGTTTGAAATTGATCAATAACTTCTTTCTAATCTCCTGAACCATTTGGGCTGGCTAAAAATTAACTCAGACAAATGATAAATGCAAATCCAATTTTAGAGTTATTGGAGTTAAACAAAGGCCTTTTTAATGAGCGAAAAATCATGAAAGGGAGAGTCAGGCTCTTACTGACTAATGCCCGGTTCCTATAATTGAGAAACGATCTGTTTTAGTTACGAATAGTAGTTTTATACACGACTCGTAAGCTAAAACCGTTCCTATAACAAACGTCTCGCCGTGCAACTTACTGACGGTTTGCAACTAACGGATGTCGGTAAGCGAATTGTATGGAGATCTATGGTGTCTGTGGTGTTCCTATAAATATTTTAACCGTCAGTAGACGGTCAAGATAACTATTCGTAATGTCATTTGGTCGTAATGCGTATACAACGACGATTCGTTAAATATAGGAACCGGGCATAAACAGACTGAGGCGAGGAGAACTGCAAGACTGACTAAAAAACACCCCCTTCCATGTTCTGCTCCAGGATGCTAAAGGATGTGGGCCTTGCGTCTCTAATATTGTCGTCAACTCGACGAAGATCGGCAGAAGTGTAGGACCGGATAGTTTGACCTCACCCTAGATATATTTTTTATGGAATAGGACGCAAAGGAGCGGCATCAGAAGAGTCACAGGCACGTTGCAGACCTTTTAAAGAGTACGCTAGTTTATAGCATGTAATAAAAAATGCCAACTATACGGTTTTACACTCCAGCCAATCTTCGCCCAATTGACCTTACCTGTTATTGAAATTTTCTCCACAAATATGACATGTAATGGGCGAGCTGTACGGGTGTTTCGAAGTCACCTCAGATTCGGCAGACGAAGCACTCTTGCACTTGGCGATCTTGCGGTGCAGATTGACGCAGCTCACTGTACGCTTGTCTGACGAATCAGACTCATCTGCCGTCGCAAGCGTCGCCGTCTTAGACTGCTGCAAATTTGATTCCGAGAATCTGTTCTTCTTGATTTCCGACAATATTTGATCCGGATCAGATATTTTGTCGAAAAATGACACAATCTTCTTCAATTTATCTTCTGGTACTTCACATTTGGTCGTTTCTGGGTCAGTTTGAGTGTTGCTAGCTTTCTTGAAGGTCAGTCTCGTGGCAGATGGGGTGGAGATGTTGGTGTTTCTCAATTTGGAGATGCCAATGTCTCCAAGCTTTGAGATGCCGATGTGTTCGTTTTCGTGGACGTACTTTTCATACTCTGTTTCGAATCCTTCATGGCAGTAATGGCAGATGTGTTTTCTGTCGGGAAAGTGACAGAGATTGAGGTGGTCGTTGTAGTTGATTATACCTGAAAACAAACAGGTTATTAGAATCAGTATACATTTAGGTGTGTTTAGAGAAACTTACGGAGACTCGTTGACACAATTTCGCACCTGGAGGCGTGGTATCTTATCTAATCAAACTATGTTGACACTTTCTCAACAAATGTTATGTTTAGATAAAGGATTGGTTACGAAGAGATAAGTTACAAAACTGTTGTAAATGCCGTAGAGATGTAATGCTCTGAAGAAGAATACGCCAGAGATCGTATTTAAATTTACTCAGACCTTTTGTGACCTTACCATGAAGTATTAATATTAAATAAAACGTAACATTTTGAATACCATATTATGGGCATAAGGGGTAAGTTTTAGTTTGTACTTTCCCCATATTAGGTGTCGCTCTTTTTTTTTGTTGAAAAATGTCGGCAAACGAGCGTACCGATTACCTGCCGCCCATGACCACCCGCAACAACAGAGGAATTATGAGTGCGTTGCCGACTTTTTAGGGATTGGGATAAGGGAACGATTGGGTCTCCGGTAACATCACTCACACGGTGAAACAACGCTGTGGTTGCTTCACGCTGGTTTTCTGTGAGGCCGTGGTATCACTCCGGTCGAGCCGACCAATTCCTGCCGAAGCTTGGCTCTCCCACATACTTTTCCAATAAAATCAGAATAGTGCAATGAACTTACCATAAGAGATCATACGACACCCCAGAATCGGACACTGCCGTGGAGTGGTGTCCATCAAACAGTTCCTCTGCACAGATTGCACATAGGTCAAAATGACAGGGCTTTTCACATCTCTTAAAGCGATTTCCGACTGAATCTTCTTGGGACGTCGCAACCTTCGGAATCTCAAGCCACGACGGCGTCTCTTATCGCAGAAATTATGGGAAATATTGTTATCGCTTGCGGCGTAAACATGGCCATTCGGCAACACGTAGTTTTTGTATGGTCTTTCCCGCCGTATACCGAAAATTCGATGGATGAAACATTGAAACCTTGTCAGCTTGCGTTTCTCGCTCATCATGAGGTAAGGAACTGGATGAGGTGGAGGGTGGGAATGGGGATGGGGATGAGGATGTGGATGGGAATCGCTGGTCTGGGTAAACTCGCACTCCTGACATTCAAGACGCTCGTGGCGTTCGTGACCTTCAAAACGATCGCGTTCTGGTATATTCGGGATTGTAACAGCCCTTTCTAGGGTCATATTGTCCTTAGAGTCTTGCGTGACGGCGTATTTACTTTCTTTAGGTAGTACGGACTCCATCTGCGTTGAGGTGCAGGAACATTTCGTTATTTTAAGGTCTCTGATTAGAGAAGTCGCTATGGACTCTTTGTCACTGTCCGTGTGGATTGATACGTCACCGCTCGACACCTCGTTCGTCCCGGCGCATGCGTCAGTTTTCGTGCGATGCGATCGCTTCTTTCTCTTCTTAGACGACTTTAGATCTTCTTCCAAGTACCCCTCTGGCCCGTAAGACTCAGGCAGGATCCCTATCACGCTAGCATCGTATATTTGGAACAATTTCTTCAAACATTTATACTTAGCTTTAAGAACTTCGTGTTTCTTCTTCGGCACCCATTTGTGAGTTAGTTGCTCATCCTCGTTCTCGTTTCGTTCTGGTATGCTGGTTAGAGTCGGTTGTTTCCTATACATACCGCGATACCAGATTGCAAAGCTACAGAAAATTTTGATAACTAAAAAAAATATTACACTAGCGAATACTTCGCAATTTCGATATGGTATCATAACTGTACAAATTTACAGTTATTAAAAAAATGTTTTTTATAATGTGCTGTCTTGATTCTAAGGAGTGCATAGTGTAGTGACATTTTCACATGTCGTTTGCGCGTTTGAAATTGGAGCGTTTGTTTCTTTTTACTTCTTTTTTTTTTCTTTTCTAGACGGTGAGCTGGGCGTAGGTAATACCAGTTTTAATTGAATAAGATCTCTTTTATACGGAGATGCGGCGTGTGATGCGGTTTGTCGTACATTGCTTTTATGTTTGTGTTTTTCGCGGGTAATGATGCGGCTAACTCCGCAATGAACGATAAGCAACAATCATGCCGTGTTTCTTTAAATGAGGCCGTATTATAAATACGCATTGGTCTTTTTAACGTTCTAGCTGTATGGAAAATAATCATAAACTGTTTTTTTTTTCGAAACCCAGATACTTAACGATACCACGATCCATACGAACCATACGAACGATAGGTACCTATGTAGTACATAGTTTTTACTACTGTTTTATATAGAGTATTTCTTCTTTTACTACTGTTTTTACCAAAAATACGCAATGCTTTTTTAGTGCTCCATAGTAAACTAGGAGCCCTTATGGTTCCGCCATGTTTGTCTGTCTGTCTGTCCGTCCGCGGATAGTGTCAGTGACCGTTAATGCCAACGCTGAAATGACACCAATATGTAGGTAGGTTATATCAATAACGCCGGCAAAGTGGTAAAATAAAAAACACGTAAAGTAGGGAGTGATATTTTTTTTTATTTCAACCCTAACGTGTAACTTGTATGATAGGTAAGTATTTAAAAATGAATACGGGTTTACTATGATAATTTTTTAATATTTTTGGAAATAATCGCTCCAAAAGTTAAAAAAATGGCGATGACTCCCGACGATCTCCGGCCACCAGACCGCGCTGTGGTGGTCGGAGATGATCTCTCGTTGCTACTTACGCTGAATTGTGGTTTTAAGATTTACAACAACTCTTAAGTGGGGATACTCATTTTAACAGACGGCAAGCTACGGAACCCTACACTGCGCGTAGCCTCATAATTCTCTTAGCCGGTTTTTACTGAATTTTTGCTATAAAACCGCATAAGTAAGCCCTTAATTTTCTATAGATGAGCTCTATCCACTCGAAGCTGGAGAAGTGATTGGATAATATTCTACCTCAACTAATAAGAGTTGGGCGTCCTAAACTTGACTTGAAAAGTAGCGAACAAACATAAAGTTGTGTTAGTTATAACTCAAGAACGGTTGAACCGTTTTGGTTAGAGAGAGGATAGAGTAGGTAGAGTAGGGTAGGTAGTGTAGGTTAGGTGGAGTAGGATAGGTAGTCAAATGACGGAAGCGACGCCGCGGGTAAGAGCTAGTATAAAATAAAACCAGGTTATTATTACAAAATAAATTTATTACAATAAATAACAGTTTTGTAAAATTAAATTATTTTATAAGTATATGTTAATATTTACATCACAATAAACAATATATTATGTTACATATCACTTTCAGATGAATGCTCCTTCAGGCATCAGTAAACCTGAAATAGGAAAAAAAAACTTAATCAGCATCATTTTATGTGATTGTACCGAAGTGTGGTCAGCCATACTTCGCAACTGCTAGGCTGGCTCGGCCGGAGTTTTTTTTTTAAGTGATGGGCAACACACTTATAATAACTCCTTTGGTATTGAGAGTATCCATGGGCGGCGCCGATTACTTACCATCAAGTAATCCGTCTGCTACGGTGAAGGAAAACATCGTGAGGAAACCTGGACTTATAATTTCTAATTATAAGTTTGAAATCGCCAAACCGCATTGAGCAAGCGTGGTGATCAATGCTCAAACCTTCTCCGTATGAGAAGAGGCCTTTGCTCAACAGTGGCCACTTATAGGCTGATTATGAATCCGTCTGCTTGTTGATGACATAAAAAAGCTAAATTCTAGAAGTGCCATTTACCTGCTATACACGCGGTCATGAAGCAGATACCGCATCCCGCGAAGAATGCTCTCACAGCCACCTGAAAACAAAACACAATGCTATATTATAACTTGATAGGTCGTGGTGGCCTGGGGGTTAAGGCGCCTGTTTCTCATGCATGAGGGTCGAAACCTGGCAAGTACGAATGTGACTTTTTCCGAGTTGTATGTACTTTCTATGATTATTTAGACACCACTGACATACGGTGAAGGAAAACATCGTGAGGAAATCTGGACTTAATTATAAATTTGAAATCGCCAATCCGCCTTGAGCAAGCGTGGTGATTAATGCTCAAACCTTCTTCGTGTGAGAAGAGGCCTTTGCTTAGCAGTGGGCACTTATAGGCTGATGATGATGATGATGATGATATTGTAACTATCTTACTTCTTACTAATACTATAAATGCGAAAGTAACGATGTTTGGATGTTTGTTACTCAATCACGCCAAAACGGCTGGACGGATCTGGATGAAAGGCACAGGCATAGGATACACTCCGGAATAGGACAAAGGCTACTTTTTATAACATGAAAAATGACAGATAAGATAAATACTCACACTAGAAAGAACTTCTCTCTGTCCAGGGGCCATAGCTGCGATGGCACCAATCATGATTCCAGCTGATCCAGGGTTGGTGAAACCGCATAGGGAGTATGTTGCTATCAATTCTGCTCTGGGCTGAAAAAAAAAATTAAAATTAAAAAAAAAATACAGGCTCTTTTGAAATGTTAAAAATATATAAATAAAAAAGTTTTTCATAGAGGAATTTGAAATTGGAATTTCGTTTTCTTATATCGTAAAAATCATTAAAGTTTTAGTCAGTTTTCAAACTAGTCAATTTTCCAAACTTTCCGATGGTCACTAATTTCAAAATTTCATTTATCAATTTTTCAAAATATCCTGAAAATAACAAAATAATCAGTGAATACTAGTAACTATTTTCAAAATTTTCCGGTGTTGTTAATTTCCAAAAAGACCAAAAGATACAATTTTATTAACCACGTTGACGACCCAAATCAACCAAAAATCCCGATTTCCCAAACTATGCTATAAGCTAAATTTAATTGTAAACATAAAAAATGCTCGTAACTTAAACAAATATACATATTTTTTAGTATAGGTAGTATGAATATTATTTCTTTTAATTTAAAAAAATGTATAAAATACAAAACTTGCCATCGCAATACAAAAAAAAATACTTTAGTCAAAATTATTTATACGTCAAAATAGAATTAGTAGTCTGTCAGTCTGTTCGTCAATGAAGCTAGGTGCTCATTCCAAATTGTTGATTCGAATGGAGAAGAACGGGCAAGAAACTCCATACTACTACAATGATTACTCACCGATAGTAATCCTTCTTTCTTCATTTCTCCCATTCTCTGATAGGCTACAAACTCATTGACGACAGTTTTTAAGCCAATCAGAGATCCGACCAACTCACACTCTTCCCACGGAACTCCTGGAACGGTTAAATTAAAAACATATATTTCTTTTGTAACAAAAAAAATCTATATAGGAAGTCGTGTTAGTTACTCCACTTATAACTCAAGAACGGCTGAACCGATAGGAGGTAGTTTAGACCCAGGAGAAGGACATAGGATAGGATAGAGTAGGTAGTGTAGATTAGGTAGAGTAGGGTAGGAAGAAAAGGGTAGGGTAGGAAGAGAAGGTTAGATAGAGTAGGGTAGGTAGAGTACGGTAGGTAGAGTACGGTAGGTAGAGTACGGTAGGTAGAGTACGGTAGGTAGAGTACGGTAGGTAGAGAAGGATAGGTGTAGTACGGTAGGTAGAGTAGGGTGGGGTAGGTAGAGTAGGGTAGGTAGAGTACGGTAGGTAGAGTACGGTAGGTAGAGTACGGTAGGTAGAGTAGGGTGGGGTAGGTAGAGTAGGGTAGGTAGAGTACGGTAGGTAGAGTACGGTAAGTAGAGTAGGATAGGTAGAGTAGAGTAGGTAGAGAAGGGTAGGTAGAGTAGGGTACTTAGAGTAGGTAGAGAAGGGGGTAGGTAGAGTAGGGTAGGGTGGGCAGGGTACGGTAGGTAGAGTAGGGTAGCGTAGGGTGAGTAGGGTAGGTAGAGTACGTAGGTAGAGTATGGTAGGTAGAGTACGGTGGGTAGAGTAGGGTAGGTAGAGGTGGTAGAGTAGGGTAGGTAGAGTTGGCAGAGTAGGGAAGGTAGAATTGACGAATGACGGGAGCAACGCCGCGGGTAAGAGCTAGTTATTTATACTGACTGCCTCTAAAATATGAGTGTATTTAAGTGAGAGAGATATTTCGTCACGAATGAGTCGGCTCGACCAGGGTGACAGCACAACCTCAGAGAAACCCTCAGCCGAGGTTGCGGGGGTAAACACAAAAAGACACCGCAGCCTCGGCCTAGAGAAGGAGAAGGAACGGATAGTTTTTAGTCAGCAAGAGTCTGACACTCCCTCTCGCCTTACCCTGGGCGGCAGAACTGCAGAAATCATTTGATGATTATCCCCTGACAAAACAAAACCTCACTAAAACCCGGCTGCCAATTCGCCATGTGAGTGAGGTTATTGGAGACAAAATCTTTCCGCCCATCCCTTAGATCTCCGAAACCTTAACCTCCAAAAGCCGAGTAACGCACTTGTAACCACTTTGGTGTTACGGTATTCCATGGGCGGCGCCGATTGCTTACCATCAGGTAATCCATCAGCTCGATTGCCGACATATCCCATTAAAAATAAAACTAAGTACTTACACATGTACCTATGCATTGTTCAACAATTTAAAAGCATATCGTGTATAATTAAAAGTGACAATTATTACAACGAAGAAATATTTTTTTTATTTTAGTATTATTTTATGACAGTGGAAACCCATTAAGACTATTTAATGATCTGTTTTTAAAGAAAAAAAACAATGTCCCATTAACATTGTGTATGCAATAATAAACTATATAACTATTGCCCATAAGAGTTACTTTTATGTGGAATCCATCATCATCAGCCTATAAGTGCCCACTGCTGAATAAAGGCCTCGTCTCACACGGAAAAGGTTTGAGCATTTATCACCACGCTTGTTGAAGGCGGATTGGCGATTTCAAACGTATAATAAGAAATTCTATGTCCAGGTTTCCTCACGATGGAACTGGGAAGCCGTCTCCTCTTTCTGCGAAGCAGTGATGCTCGTAAAGAAAGAATCGGAGCGCGTGAGGGAACTATCCTCCTCACGCCCCAGCCGCCGCAGCAGGCGGCACTCCGGACGTCGGGGATCGAGAAATGATCTCCGACCACCTAGAGCGCGGGTCTGCGGACGGCGAGTAAGGGTACCTCGCCGCCCGACCAGAACCGCAGGCACACAAGCCGGAGGTTAAAGCACCCGTTTCCCATGCAATGCAGGTTTGAAACCTGGTAACTACCAATCTGAGTTTTTCCGATTTATATGTACTTTCTATGATTATTTAGACACCACTGACATACAAGTTTGAAATCGAGCAAGCATTATAATTAATACATAAACCATCTTCGTGTGCGAAGAGGCCTTTGCTCAGCAGTGGCCACTTAGGCATACTCAGGCTGATGATGTAAAATGTATATGAACTACACTCACACGGCGAAACACAACGCTGTGGTTGTTTCACGCCGGTTTCTGTGAGGCCGTGGTCGGTCGATCCGACCAATTCGTGCCGAAGTTTAGCTGTTCCACTACTCATTAAAAAAGCAAAGCACTCACCCATGACCCAAGCAAGGGGTATGAAAATCTTTCCAAAAATCCATTCCAGGGTAATTCCTGTGTGCCCCATCAATTCTGTGCAATAGACGATAAAGCCGTTGACGAACGCCACGAAGGCTACAAAGGCTATAATATTGGCAATGATGTTCAGGATCAAGGCTATGCCATTGGTAGCCCCCCTAGTAGCTGCTGAAAGTACGGATTTGTCTTCGCTGTAAAAAAAAAGAAATCAGTTCTTAGTTATAAAATTACTCCATCGATTCGGTCGGCCAGATTTTTTTATGTCGTAAAAGTACACCGAGAAACGATCAAGCGGTTTACCTGAAGGTAAGCAATCGCCGCTCATGGTCACACGCAACACCGGAGTAGTTGCCAGTGCCTTGCAGGTCTTTTAGGGATAAGCGGTTTTGGAGATTTTAGGCATTGGAGGGGTCCGGTAACTCCCACTCACAAAGACACAACGCTGTGGTTGGCTTCCCCACAATAGGATTTTCTCCTGTTTCGTGTGTGCGTTTACAAACATGCTATTTCACATACACATTACACCTAGACCCGGAACAACAATTTGTTGATCACACAAAGAGTTGTTCCGGGCTGGAATCCACCACGCCAACAAGCCAGTCTGTAGATACATTTACTGACTATATGTTTTTTACTTACCATACAACTGGTTGAATATTATCAACAGTAGTCAAAGAACGTTTGGTCTCCGGGAGTAGCAACTTAGCGTAGCATATAGCGGCAGGGGCCGACATGACGCTGGCAGTCACCAAGTGAGCTGGTTCTGCTCCGAAGCCGATGTATGACGCCAGAATTGTACCTGATTAAGGTAGAGCATCCTAGATAAGGTTTGTTTCTTCGAGTTTCCGTTTTTGGTAACTAGATGGCGTAAAATTAAGTCTACCGTTTCTACAAGTTTCTTTGTTAACTTACTAGATGGCGGTAATGTCGGGTTAGGTCTTATTTATTTTTTATTTATTTATTTTTATTTATTTATTTATTTAGGCTTACCAACTAAGACACATACAGACAATCTTATAAGATTAAGTGCTTACTAATAAACTGGGTATATATAACTTAACTAAACGTAAGTCATTTTCAAAGATAGTTATGAAGTATTTTAACTTCCGACCGAGTTGATTGAAAATAGCTATTTACCTACTCCCGTGAAGTAACTGATAAAACTATTAGTTTCAAAGACTCCCACTTATTCGTGAGCAACGTGTTGTTATTACATATTAACTATATATGTATATAAAAGAAAGTCGTGTTAGTGACACTATTTAGAGATAACTCAAGAACGGCTTAACCGATTTGACTGAAAATTGGTATGGAGGTACCCTGCCAATTTTCAGTAAAAAACAGCTAAAAACTGGAAGAAGAACACAGGATATATGGTAGATTAGGTAGGGAGGTTGTGTAGGGTAGGTAGGTAGGGCTGATAGTGGTAGGTGAGAAGTGTCAAATGACGGAAGCGAAGCCGCGGGTAAGAACTAGTTTTCAATAAATTTATTACGTCTCACTATAGTTATTATCTATACTAATATTATAAAGAGGTAAAATTTGTAAGTTTGTATGTAGGGGGTAATCTTTGGAACCGCTGGTCGGATTGCCAAAATTCTTTCACTGATAGATAGCTACAGTGTTCCTGAGTGCTATAAAACATCACGTTGCGATTAAATAGAGCCGAGTAGCGGGTGAAACCGCGTGAGAGTAGCTAGTAATACAAAAAAATAACTACTGAGTTTTCAAAATTGAAACACGAAAAAGATAATATCTTAATAATTTATTATAATATGTTATCTTGAATACTTTAAAAAGACTTTGTTTTGTATTAAACTGTATTTATATCGATAAGAATGATAAGATATTTTATCACGACAATAGTTTGAATAATTTATGTAGGTTGTCTATGATTAATACTGCTAAAGTATTTCGATAAAATAATTTTGACACATTACATTGCATCCTACGACCCAAATAATATTATACTAATTGACAATAACAACTTTCTCAGGTTTTCATAAACAAGTGTGAGAGAGCCATGCTTTGGCTTTTCTCTTGCTTCTCTTTGCTTTGCCTCACAGAATGTACGAAGTGAAAGAGACACAACAGGAGTGGGGTAGGGCTAGATTTGGGCCTCCGGTAACCTCACTCACACGGCGAAACACAAAGCTGTGGTTGTTTCACGCCGGTTTTCTGAAAAGTCGTGGTATCACTCCAGTCGAGCCGACCCATTTGTGCCAGCTTGATTTGACTCTCCCACATTTCAAAGAACTCATGAGATTATATGCAACATTTTTATAATTTTTGTGTGTCTTACCTGACACAGTTGCAAATCCTGATGCCATCACTACGTGTATTTCAGAAGGGGTCTGCAGAGCTAGATATGGCTTGATTAGCAATATTGATTCAGTCTGAAAAAAAAAACATAAAAACGGATAAACACCCGGTTTCTGAAAGGCTTGTCAACACTAAAATTAACTAATCTCCTGTTCAATTTCTTGTCAAGTCATCTGATTGGTTGTTGACAATTCAGTCAACCAATCAGATGACTTGACAAGAGATTAAATTGATTTTAACATTGATCGGCCTTTCAGAAACCGGGGGTTAGTCTTTTCACACGAAGAACAATAAAGAAATATTTATCATCCCATTTTTTTGTGAAGGGAAAATCGTCAATTGACTTCTCCCGCCGAGGGTCTGGCAGAAGAGAGCGCCTCTTACTGATTTAAAAATTTTAATTATTTTAATTATTTTAGGATGATAATAAAATTATTGGCTGCTATGTCAGTTTACTAAGCTTGCAATAAACTCTTTGAATTTGACCTTAACTTTGACATTGACATTGACATTGACTCACCATCCCCAAGAAAACGTTTCCAACCGCTATGACGCTCTCACACACAGTGGTTCCCGTGGCGGCGCGTAGCACCTGCCCTAGTTTCAAAACGAACCACTGGAGGGCGCCCCAGAAGAATAAGATCTCCACCAACATACTAAAGAAGAAGATTACTGGTAGCGTCTGCAAGATAAAAGGTTTAGGATTGTTACTAAAAATCCTACTTTTAGTATTACAAATGTGGAAATTTGTGAGAATGCATGACCTATGTTTGTTAGTCTTTTAAGCAAAACGAATGGACCGATTTGGTTGAGATATGTAGATAGCTGATGCCCTGGATATGTGTTAACATAGAATACTTTTGGACTACCACGCGGGCGATGCTGTGGGTGGACTATTTTAAGTATTACATCACCACCTACATTTTTTCCGCAGATCGCAAGAACCGACTAAGGCACTACACATTAGACAGAGACCAGTCAGCAGCGCTCTCTGAAGTAAATACTATTTATTAAGTAAGCATGTCCATCGTAAAATTAATTTATTAATGGATGTGTAATATTTTTTTTTTATTGTACTTTATCATATGAAAGTAGAAGTAACTAAGTTAGTAGCAAAACTTCTAAAATAAGTTCAACTTACACTGAATGCAAAAACTCCTTCAGTCCTGACCAGTAGATCTCCAAAAGCGAAGGCAGCGCCCTCTACACCATAAGACAGAAACGTTGCCACCTGATAAATAAGCATATTGTTGCACATTCGCTTCTCATACTTCAAGACTGTTTTTTAACTTTTATATAGAAAATATTTACAAGATGGGGTATATGGGATGGATTTGGACACTAGTAACTGGATAAAAATACCAAAATCATGTAAATATTCCAACTAAACCATAAATAGGTACTTTTGAAACGTCAAAACAGAATAGTAGTCTGTCAGTCTGTTCGTCAGTGAAGCTAGGTGCTCATTCCAAATTGTAGATTCGAATGGAGAAGAACGAGAAAGAAATTCCATCATTACTCCTAAAAAAACAAAAATAAATTTTCACTAATTAATACAACACTTACACCCGGTTTCTGAAAGGCTTGTCAACGCTAAAATTAACTAATCTCCTGTTAAATCTCTTGTCAAGTCATCTGATTGGTTGTTGATAATTCAGTCAACCAATAAGATGACTTGACAAGAGATTAAATTGCTTTTAACATTGATCGGCCTTTCGAAAACCGGGGGTTAGTCTACATTATTGTAATAATAAATGTGAGAACAATGCAGAGACCAGAAACAAACCAGTTGTTAAAAAAATAACAAATCTATCTATACAAAATTTTAAATCCTTTATCGTCTCAAAAATGGCGCTCACATATGCGTTACTTCCTCCATACCCCGTACTCCATACCCGTGTCTTATAAATATAAATTTTACCTTATCAGAGAAACATTGCAACGCAGCCCTTCCAGGAGTCCACCTGATGAAGAGCACGCCAAACAAAAACTGGATCAGGAGACCAGTGGACACTGTTCGCCAGTTCACACGACCAGGGTGAGCGGAGAATACGAAACCTGAATAAGACAGAAGAAATATGAGATCAGGATATTGAAAAAAATAATTCAACAATGGACCTTCGAAAGAGTTTTAGGTACTTGTACCTTACAAGTAGGTATTCACCAGTCCACCTTTACATGTTTTTGTATAAAGTGTATAAGTAAATAAATAAATAAAACTGGTGTTTTGGTCTTTGGCTTCACATGCCTGAGGGGGCGGATTCGAAACCTTCGAAACATTGGTACATACTAGTATGTAACAATGTGACTTTTATATTTACTTTCTACGATTATTTAGACACCACTGGCATACGGTTTTTTTTTTGTGAGGGGAAAATCATCAAATGACTTCTCCCACCCAGGGTCGGGCGGCAGGGAGTGTCAGAATCTTACTGACTAAAAACCCCCCGTTCCTTATCCTCCTCTGGGCCGAGGTCGCAGTGTCTCATCGCGCTTACCCACTGGCAGACGGTGAAGGCAAACATCGTGAGGAAACCTGGACTTATTATTTCTAATGAAGTATAAGTTTAAATTCGCCAGTCCGCCTTGATTAAGCGTAGTGATTAATGCTCAAACTTACTCCGTATGAGAATAGGTTTTTGTTCAGCAGTGGGCACTTATAGGCTGATGATGATGTTATTGCTATTAGCAGACTGAGATGCGGTTTGATAAAAAATAAAATACAAAAAATACATAATGTTTGACACCCATCTTCAGACTGATTCCTTCCAGTGCTGGACATAGGCCTCTTCAATAGCGCCCCAAAGCAGGAGAAGGAACGGGGGCTCTTAGTCAGTAAGAGTCTGACACTTTCTTTCGCCTTACCCTGGGCGGGAGAAGTCATTCGATGATTTTACCCTGACAAAAAAGGCCTCCTTAATTGCACGCCACTGAGCTTAATGTTCAGCTCTTTTCATTCAACCACTGCCAGTCACCCTGCGGAAATAGTCAGTCCACCCAGTTGGAGGGCCAGCCGTAAGCGCAATGAGGCACCGCGACCTCGGCACAGAGCAGGAGAAGGAACAGGGGGGTTTTTAGTCAGTAAGAGTCTGACACTCCCTCCCGCCCGGCCCTGGGCGGGAGAAGTATTTTGATGATTTTACCCTCACAAAAAAAAAAAACAGTTGGAGGGCGCCCTACACTACGTTTGCCTAGACGTAGTCCCTACTTTAAGAACATGTCTACTCCAGTCATCGGTTCTTCGACAAATGTGACCTGTCCACTGCCACTTCAGTTTGCTAATCCTTTGGGCTATGTCGACAACTTTAACACCCACCACTTTGAAACCAACTTACCTAAAAGTAATATTATGAATAATCCTATGAGGGACACGAGTCTGCCCGGGTTGTCTCGTGTGTCCAGAAACAGGTAAACAGCTATCGCACCCAGGACAGCTAAGACCACACACCAGCGGAACCACCTGCCGACAAATGACAATAAATTTTAGGAAGGTATGGTCAGAAGTGCTGGGGAGCCATGGTCTCACTGAAAACTGGCGAGTAACAACCACAGCGTTGTGTTTCGACGTGTGAGTGAAGTTACCGAAGACCTAACGCTTCTCCCCTCCAAATCTCTTCTCAATCCCTAAATATCCATAACACTTATCTCCAAAAGGTCGACAACGCACTCGTAACTTTTCTGTTGTTTGATAATTGTTTCCCAGGTCAAAAATAAATTAATTCGACGTTTCAATACAATGAAATATTGAAAAATAACTATACTTTTATTCATCGATCGATTGATACACTAAATTGTAGATTTTTTAAAGCAATTTTTTTAGAAATAAGAACGCTATTTGACGCAAAAATACTATGACGTCATAACTCAGTTTTTCATAGAAAAGTATCGTTTTTGACATTTGGATAAAAGTATTGAATTTGACTAGTTGGAAACTACCGTATTGTAACATTAAAAAGTTTTATCAAACTGTTTTCATACCTTCCTTAAAAATACATTATTTGAGTAATACCTATTTCTCTTTAATGAAACAATGAAAAACGAATACCTATATTTTTGTAAATAGGCCACAAACATTACATTCTCATTTTTTCTTTTTTTTTTAATGCTGCTCCACACAAGGGTTTTCTCCTGTATCGTGGATGCGTTTACAAACATACAATTTTACATGTACAAGACCATCCAGACAATGAGAACAACAGCTTGTGGATCACAAAAAGAGTTGTTACGTGGAAGTCGAACACGCGACACGCTGCGCGGCAGCCAGTTGCCCAGCCACAGCGCCAAACGTGCAGTAACATCAGTAATTTTACACGTTAACATTTGTATAAAAATCTAGATGAAAACGGCCTGAAAATATTCCTATCTGACTACTATGAGAAGAAATACTGAAACAAACTCAGAAGTCAATCCCTTCAAGTCTAGATTAAAATGATACCTCATGAAAACCATTAAATTCACGGTCAGGTCATTCACACCAGGATCTCATGACACTGAAGTCATGAGATCCTACCATCTGATTGGTTTAATTACAAATCTAAAAAAAACAGTACCTAATTAATTGATACTAGGTACGTTTAAATGATCAATTAGAAGTTGTTTAAGAATTTATCAATTCTAAGAAGTTAGTTTCGTTTGATGTTTTGCGAACTGAAACTGTAATTTTAGAAGATTGATAAAGATGTTATGTTTGTAATCTGAAGATTCAAGAAGATTACACTCCGTTGTTGCGGGTGTCCATGGGCGGCGCTGATTGCTTACCATCAGGTAATCCGAAAGCCTGTTTGCCGTCCTATCACATTTTTTTATGTAATAAGTCGGCAAACGAGCAGACGGATTACCTGATGGTAAGCAATCAGCGCCGCCCATGGACACCCGCAACGGAGGAGTTACAAGTGCGTTGCCGACCTTTTAGGGATTAGGGATTTGGAGATTTAGGGATTGGGGAAGGGTCCGGGAAGGGGAAGGATTGGGCCTCCGGCAACCTCAGTCACACGGCGAAACACAACGCTGTGGTTGTTTCACGCCGGTTTTCTGTGAGGCCGTGGTATCACTCCGGTCGAACCGACCCATTCGTGCCGAAGCATGGCTCTCCCACACTTAAAAATCATATAGAATCATATCACATAGAATAAAAAACAAATAAAGAAAATTCAACTTACATCATAGTCCAAAGCTTGGCAAAGGTTTTCTCGACCCTGCTCCATATTGTCTTCTCGAACCAGGCACCAAATAACCTCTTCACCACCACGAAGTATATTATGAAGAAGTATATGATGCCCAGGAATGCTATTAGGCTGCCGAAGCCATGGCACAGCTCCAGAGGTTGTGGGTCTGTGGAATTTTTAATCTGTGTTAGTTTTACCTTCTTTAGACAGCGATGAAGGTTTTTTAAGAATACCTTTTATATTTTATTTTATTTTTTTTTTGCTTAAGGTCATAATTTTGATATTAATGATTAACATAAAAAAACTACAGTCGAACAAATTTCGAATTAGGTAGTAAGAAAAAGAAAAGAAAAAAATATATGTATGTTTGTGATTACATTTTTTTAGTACCTTTTAATCAAATTGTTTAACTAATATAAGTTCTTTAGGCAAATAGATTCAGGTATTTTTTTGTCAGAGGAAAATCATCGTATGACCTCTCCCGCCCAGTGTGAGGCGGGAGGGAGTGTCAAATTCTTACTGACTACAAACACACCTGGAAAGGAGAGGTTCGTAGTCAGTAACTACAAATCTCTCCGTTCCTTCTCCTGCTTTAGGCCTAGGCCGTGGTGCTTCATTGCGCTTACTCCGCGACTCCGGCTAAAACACGACGGCCGGTGGTCTACTGGCTTTTTGAGGCGCGCGCGGAATGCTACAAGCCGTAATCTCGAGTCGTGGGTGAAATAACCGCGAAACGCTTCGAAAAAAGGATGGTACGGTCGTGCCCGTTTTGCTTGAAACTTGCCTGGGCTACTCCCGTGCCCCCAAATATCTCTTTTTACAGATCATCAATAAATAATTAAACTCAATAATTCTTTCACTTACCAGAATTCAAATAATGATAGAGACAGCCGAAGAAGAATCCCAGAACCAGTCCATTTAATACAAATAAGGTGACGGTCTTCATGACAGACCGATTCTGTTTGATGAAGACATCTGTCGAGTTGCCTACCCTGAGGAGTGTGGTCTCCAACCATCCTGACGGCTCGTAGTCCAAGTATTCATGTGTAACAGGCTAGAAAAGAAAAAAAAACTATAATGATAATGAAACATACAACATTTAATTATAACTAGCTACTCTCGCGCGGTTTCACTCGCTGCTCTGCTTCATTTGATCGTAGCGTGATGTTTTATAGCTTATAGCACTCAGAAACATTGTAGCTATCTTTCAGTGAAAGAATTATGGCAATCCGACCAGCGGTTCCAAAGATTGATCCCTACATACAAACTTACAAACTAACAAACTAACAAACTTACAAACTTACAAACTTACAAACTTACAAACTTACAAACATACAAACTTACAAATTTTACCTCTTTAAAACATTAGTATAGATAACGACTTATTCTCATGTGAATTAACTGAGAAAAGCTCTACCAGTTTCGAGTCGCAACGGGACTCTTATTTTTACATCTCCAATATCAGTGTTAAGTTCGACAAAACTCAACAACTTTCAAACGACAACCGGGGCTAAAACTCAAGGACACATGACCATAATTAAACTTGTAATCACAAGAGAAAAGTTATTATATTATTAATAGCTAATCCCCTGCGGTTTCACCCGCTGCTCGGCTCCTACAGATCGTAGCGTGATGTTTTATAGCCTTTAGCACTTAGGAATATTGTAACTATCTATCAGTGAAAGAATTTTGGCCGACCGATCCGACCAGCGGTTCTAATGTTTACCCCCTACATACAAACATACAAACAAATAAACTTACAAACTTCAAATTTTACCCCTTTATAATATAAGTATAGATTACCTATTGAAAAAGTATTGGAGCATGATTCTTCTTAAAATCATACAAAAATACTGGATTATTAAGAAGAATTTATGTACAACTAGCTTATCCAGCAGACTCCGTACCGCCTCAAATATAACCAATGTTCTGATCTTTCAAACCTTTCCTGGATTTCAGTGAATATGTTAAGACCAAAATTACCTAAATCGGTCTATCCGTTCTCGAGTTTTAGCGACACTAACGAACAGAAATTCATTTATATAGACACACTAGCTGATCCGGTGAACTCCGACATAGCTATATGTTCCGAACTATGACATAGCTATATGTTCACGAATACTTTAAGACCAAAATTATCAAAAACGGACCAGCAGTTCTCGAGTTTTAGCGAGACTAATGAACAGAAATTCATGTTTTTAAATATAAATAATATACTTACGCTATTATTAACTCCATTCTTCTTAACATCATCTATGGCAACCTCATTGGTTTCAGTCCGCTGAAAAAAAAAGTTCAGGTCAATCTAATGTACTTAAATCATTGTTTTAGAGAAAACTGCCCTGAATAAGGATTTTCTCCTGTGTCGTGAATGCGTTTACAAACATACAATTCCTCATACACATTACACCCAGACCCGGAACAACAGTTTGTGGATCACACAACGAGTTGTTCCGTGCGGGGATCGAGATCGCGACCTGTTGCACAGCTACCAATTGCCCAGCCACCGAATCAACTGTGCAGTAGTATTTTTTTAAAAAAAACGTTGTCCCACATTAGGATTTTCTCCTGTGTGGGTGCGTTTACAAACATACAATTCCACATACACATCACACCCAGACCCGGAACAACAGTTTGTGGATCACACAAAGAGTTGTTCCGTGCGGGAATCGAGATCGCGACACGTTGCACGGCAGCCAGTTGCCCAGATACGTAATTTACTTTTTTTCTTTTGTTTCTAATATAATAAAAAATATATACGGTGGCAAACAAGCCGAAGGATTACATGATGGTAAGCAATCGGTGCCGCCCATGGATACTCGCAACACTAAAAGGTTCCAAACTCGTTTGCCGTCTTTTTGAGGGTTCAAGGATCTAGGAGAGATGAGAGGAGGGGAAGAATTAGGCCTCTAGTAACATCAATCACACTATGAAAAACATGGTTTTTTTCCCACTCGCCCAGGTTATGGCGAGACGGAGTGTCAGACTCTTCATCATCATCATCATCATCATCAGCCTATAAGTGCCCACTGCTGTGCAAAGGCCTCTCCTCACACGGAGAAGGTTAGAGCATTGATCACTACGCTTGTTCAATGCGGGTGGCGATTTCAAACTTATAATTAGAAATTATAAGTCCAGGTTTCCTCACGATGTTTACCTTCGCCGTATGTCAGTGGTGTCTAAATAATCATAGAAAGTAGATATAACTTGGAAAAAGTCACATTGGTACTTGCCAGGTTTCGAGCCCACCTCATGCATGAGAAGCGGGTTCTTTAACCTCCGGGTCACCAAGACACGTCAGACTCTTACTGACTTAAAACCACTCGGTTCTTTCTCCTGCTTTAGGCCGAGACTGCGACACCTAATTACGCGTGCCCCGTGACCCCGTTTTGGCGAAACTCAAGGCTGTCGTTGTTTCACGCCAGTCAATTATTGATAGCGTGGACCTACCTATTAAAAGCATGTTAAATAGTAGGGGAGCCCAGGATGCTAAATTTGTAGTTAAGTACTCAAGCGTCGTAGGGGGTAACTGGATTCTGAAGATTTGGTGATAGAAAGAAAAAATGACTCAATGACATTTCATTCCCCCGGTGGGGGAAGGGGAATGATAGTTTTCCAAAATTGTGAGATGTAACTTTTGTTTTAGTGCACGAGCGTGACAGATATTAATAATGTATATTCTCCATGTATCTCTGACAATGAAAATATTTTAATCTGCCGAATTGCGTGGTGGGGTTGGCTAACTAAGGGGATAGAAACGGGACCCGTTCAAAACATGACATCTACCTCCCCCCCCCCCTAATCTGACGAAAACGACTAAATTTAGTTATTTTTTATATTGTTATCCTCTGTTTACATTAAGTATATGGTGGATATCTTCAATAGGTTACTAAATATTCCCCATATGTTAATCTGACGCGCTCGAGTAACTACCGAAATTACTTCATGGGCTCCTACTAAAAAACATACTCTGTATCTTAAAACATTAGTATAGAATTCGTCTGTCTGTCTTTCATTGTTTTAATACAACAAAACTTATTTACGATTATCTAAATTAGTTTATAAACAGCATACCTGTGGTTACGATACTAAATTGAATTGTTATTCAAACATACTTTATTGTATTCATATCGATTCTATCGTCGATTTAGTGTAATGTAAACAAAATCATCAAATGAATCTCGCCCAGGGTGAGGTGAGAGCGAGCAAGGGTAGCTCGCCGCCCGACCAGAAATACACCGGAGCGTACGGCGCGTAGCGTTCCGAGCGCCTCAAAGAGCCAATAGACCACCACAGACGGGGCCCTATAGGGCTGATGTTCGTTGAGGGGCAAGCGGAATCAGCAAAGAGCAGGAGAAGTTAGGGGGCGTTTTTAGTCAGTAAGAGTCTGATAGTTCCTCTCTCTTCCATACCCTAGGCGCGAAAAGTCATTACAGTTCAGTCAGTCAAAAGTTTCCTCACGATGTTTTCTATCATAGTCTTAATAAACCTACTGAGAAAGCAAATGTAACCCAATAGAACAAACCAAATACTATGAAATGAGATCAATTCATAGTTTTAGATGAATGATGAAGATGACGGATCGCTTGCGTATCAAAAATACTAATATATAGAAGAAATATAGTGTTCTATTTCGAATTTTGTACACTATTAAATGGATGTTATTATACATACCTATAAACCTTCCTCTTTAATCACTCTATCTATCAAACAAACCGCATCAAAATCCGTTGCGTAGTTTTGAAGATTTAAGCGTACATAGGGATATATGGACAGAGAAAGCGACTTTGTTTTATACTATGCAGTGATAGTTATGTATAAACAAGTAATTCAAAGTATTACGTTTGTTTGACGTTTCTATAACCGAATTAATCACCAAGTTCATTAAAAATAACCAATGAAACATAACAATTGTGATTGTTATTCGATTCGTTACAATTTTGTTTTTCTTATTCGTTTTTTTTAAATTGGTATTACGATATACTGCATAAAAGACTTTTATGGGATATCGTTTAGTCAATTAAATATGGACCTTTTTTTGAAGGGGGTAAATCATCAAATGACTTCTCTCGTGCTCTGTGTGAGGCGAGAGGGAGTGTCAGAATCTTGCTGACTAAAAACGAGACTTCCGGGCAACTGCGACCATAAAAACTCTGACCGCGGTCCCAGTAGCTGGAGCCGTATAAATTAAATATATTATTTCCGGCGACTGGGACCAGTCGTAAATGATAACTGAAATAAAAAAAATTGTACAGTGTTTTTGATTTCTCTGATCTTTGAAGTAAAATCATTTTTTATTTAAAAATATCGGTAATGATATAGACATAAACAGTATTATTTGACTATAGTTAAGGCTGTTGACCGTGAAATCAAGTCACAAAACGGACTCCAGTTAAAGATAGCATCAAAAAATTATAAAATGCTTATTCTATTTGTGCATTGGGTAAAATCGTGTACCTATAGAAAAAGTCAATGATTAATATAAATCACTACCTAATCTCGCGCGGTTTCACCCGCTGCTCAGCTCCATTTGATTGTAGCGTGATGTTTTATAGCCTATAGCACTCAAGAATATTGTAGCTATCTACCAGTGAATTTTGAATTTTGGCAATCCAGTTCTAAAGATTACCCCCTACATACAAACTTACAAATTTTACCTCTTTATAATATTAGTATAGAAGTATAGATAATTGTTTTTCCTTTTGACTGTACCAATTTTAGCTTGAAAAATTGTTTTTTTTAATTGTCTGTGAGTGGTCCCAGTCGCCGGAAGAAAATACATTTATTTTTTATGGATCTGACTACGCGGACTGCGGTACGAGATTTTGCGGTCTCAGACGCCGGAAGCCTCAACCACTCCGTTTCTTCTGCTTTAGACCAGGTTCAGGACATTATCACATTAAATTTTAACCTTATCTACAAATAATAAGTCATACAACAAATACTTCGGTGACAGTCATTTGTTTAGGATACTTCTACGTTTCTGAATTTCCAAATGAACAATAACAAACACAATAAAATACTCGTAGAATCAACGAAATCGATTCAGCAGTTCTCGAGATCTGCGCTTATCATATAAAACACATGTGTGTAAAATTCCTGTGATTCATTTTAATTAAAGTTTATTTATTTCGTTTAAGTAGTTAAGCGAATGTTTATTGATTTATTTTAATAGTTTTAGTAGTATCATCATCGGCATCATCAGCCTATAAGTGCCCACTGCTGAGCAAAGGCCTCTTCTCAAACGGAGAAGGTTTGAGCATTAATCACCACGCTTGCTCAAGGCGGGTTGACGATTTCAAACTTATAATTAGAAATTATAAGTTCAGGTTTCCTCACTGTTTCCCTTTACCGTATGTCAGTGGTGTCTAAATAATCATAGAAAGTACTTATAACTTGGAATAGTTAGATTGGTACTTTCCAGGTTTCGAACCCTCATGCATGAGAAGCGTGTGCCTTAACTTATGGACCACCATGACCATTTTTTGACCATAATTAGGTACCATTTAATTAAGTATTCTGAGTACGATCTAGTTATTTTTTAGTTTTTATCAGAACACAAGCTAATTACGTGTAGAAGGGACATTTTTAATGTACCTAAGGAATGTCCCGAAAAACAAAACATCATTATCAAAGTATCTGATAGTTAATCAATTCGATTCCGGTTTATGGTAATTTACAATAATCTCGATTTTGATACCTATAATCTTATCTGAAGTTATCAATTTGGTATCTATAAAAAATCTAATAGTTTTTGAAATACTTATGAATAAATGACTGATGTGTTTCGATCTTCATAAAACTGTTATTAATCTGGATCTATCATGATAACATTATTTATGTGAGCCGCGTAGAGATGACAGATGCGTTTTTAGATTGAAATATGACGATTATTCAAATATTTTTTTTTACTTGAATCGACTGCACGGTTGGTGCGGTGGCTGGGCAACTGGCTGCCCTGCCAAGTGTCGCGGGTTCGATTCCCGCACGGAACCACTCTTTGTGTAATCCACAAATTGTTGTTCCGGGTCTGTGTGTGATGTGCATGTGAAATTGTATGTTTGTAATCGCACCCACGACACAGGAGAAAATCCTAATGTGGGGCAAAAAAAAAATTACATGCACACACACATCAAAATCCGTTGCGTAGTTTTAAATATTTAAGCTTACATAGGGATATAGGGACAGAGAAAGCGACTTCGTTTGATACTATGTAATGATTACGAGTGAGTCACGTGAATTAATGGTCAATGGTTTATAATAAATTTTGTTACAATACCGCCAACGTATCTTGGCGAGTCTGAACTCAGCCGATCAGCTGCGCAGTACACAATTTTGTTCCTAAAAGATCCATTGCGCAGACAAACGGCTAATTTCAGACTCGCCAAGATACGGCGGCCGTACTGTATGTCTGACAATATGAAATAAAATGCAAACTGAGGTTACCACACTAGCCATCGCACCTCCCCTCCCACTGCCGGCCGGGCAACTGGCTACCGTGCAACGTGTCGTTCGATTCCCGCACGGAACAACTCTTTGTGTGATCCACAAATTCCCAAGTCCAAAAAAGTGTATGTTTGTAACCGCACCCACGACACAGAAGAAAATACGAGTGTGCGTAAAGGTTTTTTTTAAAAAAAAAACACAATACCTTTACCCCAACAAGCCAAAGTTCTAGTAGCTCCTCTACTAGTTGTGGACAGATGGCGCCGATTTTTTTATGTAATAAGTCGGCAAACGAGCAGACGTATTACCTGATGGTAAGCAACCAGCGCCGCCCACGGACACCCGCAACGGAGGAGTTGCGAGTGCGTTGCCGACATTTTAGAGATTAGGGTTCCAGAAATTTAACGATTGGTTGGAGATGGGGGAGGGTCATTTGGGTGTAGCCAGTAGAATTAGCAAAAACAACTTACCTCATTCAATTTCGCTTCTGGATCAGAGTTATCCATCTTTTTTTTATTATAACTAGAACTAATATCACTGAGACACTATTTTAACTAAACAGTTAACTTTTGATCTGTATTTTGAACTCTGTCACAAATACTGTTTCAATATGTGTAGTGTCCTCTTGTCTTTCATCTTTTTATATCTGAAACAGAAGAAAAAATTGGTTAGATGGGACCAAATAATAAAAATTCATCAAAGTCCGAAAAGACCCTTTTTTGAATAGTAATTATCAAATCCCTTCTATGGTGCGCACATAGTCAAATGACTTTTTTCCCCTCGGTGATACAAGAGAGAGTGTCAGACTTTTACTGACTAAAAACTGTTCCTTCTCCTGCTCTGGGCCGAGGCCGCGGTGACTTATTCCGCTTGCCCCGCAACCCCAGCTAAACATCAGCCCTGTAGGGCCCCGTCTGTGGTGGTCTATTGGCTCTTTGAGGCCCACGAAATGCTACGCACCGTACGCTTGGATCTGGTTCTGGTCGGGCGGCGAGCTACCCTTACTCGCCGTCCAGACCCGCGCTCTAGGTGGCCGGAGATCATCTCTCGATCCCCGACGCCCGGAATGTGGCCTACTGCGACAGACTCTTACTGACTAAAACCACGTGCTCCTTGACTTCAAGCAACTCTTAACACTTTATTTTTGATGGTGGACAGTCATCAATTTGCTTATCTCGCCCAGATTGAGAAGAGAGTGAGTGTCAGACTCTTACTGACTAAAAACTACCTCGTTCCTTCACCTGCTATGGTTCGGGGTCGCGGTGTATTATAGCGCTTTCACTCGTAACCATAGGACCTCATAGACTCATAGAAACCCATTTTTTTAAATAATAATTTGCCCCAATCTAGTGTTTTTTCCTATGTCGTTGGTGCATTTAGAAACATTCACAGCCGGTTTCCGAATGGCCGGTCAATGTTAAAATCAATTTAATCTTTTTTCAAGTCATCTGATTGGTTGACTGAATTATCAACAACCAATCAGATGACTTGACAAGAGATTTAACAGGAGATTAGTTAATTTAAGCGTTGACAAGCCGTTCAGAAACCGGGTGTCAATGTCACATTTACATGACACCCAGACCCGAAACAACAATTTGTGGATCACACAAAGTGTTGGTTCGTGTGGGAATCGTATCAGCGACACGTTGCTCAGCAGCCAGTTGTCCAGCCACCGTACCAAGCATGCAGTAAAAATTGCACTTTAAAAAAAAATATAACCAGCTCGTTAGATCGACCTAAAAAGTTATTTTTTAAAGAGAAAGCGATAGGAAAGTGTGTAAACCAATATTTATCAGTTTCAGCAAAATAACACTAGGTATATCAATCTGTGAAAGTTCTTTGAAAAATTTATGTATTTAGCACTTTACAGTGTCTTTGCCTTGTCACTTTTACAGATGGACTGACACGTAAACAAACACACGGACGTTTTTATTTAAATAGGTTATTCCTTGATAGGTCATTATAATCTTCTATATGTATTTTTTTATGTAATAAGTCGGCAAACGAGCAGGCGGATTACCTGATGGTAAGCAATCAGCGCCGTCCATGGACACCCGCAACGGAGGAGTTACAAGTGCGTTGCCGACCTTTTTAGGGTTTGGGGATTTGGAGATTTAGGGAGTGAGGGAGGGGAAGGATTGGGCCTCCTCACACGGCGAAACATAACGCTGTGGTTGTTTCATGCCGGTTTTCTGTGAGGGCGTGGTATCACTCCGGTCGAGCCGACCCATTCGTGCCGAAGCATGGCTCTCCCAAATTTTCGACCGTTAATATACTAAGACCTATTGTTATATATTTTTTTATTTACTAGCTTTCGTCGTTACTGTCATAACTTAACTTAAGGTATGCATGCACGCTAGATTGAACTAATTCAAAATAGAATGAACTAATAATTAAGACTGTTGACGTCTCCGAAAACCCTCACATATCTAACAGTAAAATCGTTAGAGCCGTTTCCGAGATCTCATGCGTTTTCAAGCAATCATCGCTATCTGCCGGGCTGATTTGTGTATCTAAGGCGTCACTTGAACGCATACAGAAAAATTCATTTAAATCAGTGAAGCCGTTTAGGAGAAGTTCAATGACATACACACGGACATATAGATTGTTGTTACAGGTCTAGGTGTCATCTGCATGTGAAATTGTATGGTTGTAACCGAACCTACGACACTGAAGAAAACCCTGGGGTGGGGCAACGTCTTTAAAAAAAAAAAGAAACAGAAAATATATAAAAAATAATCGCGCCATATGTTGGTAAGCGCATAACTCAACAACGCCTGTACTAATTTTACTAAATCTTTTTTTGTTTTGTTTGTTATTTCTAGAAGTAGAGGAGAAAGCTAGGTTATTGGGATAGTTTTGAAGACCCGTGTGAAGCAGGGGCAACAAATAGACTAGCAGCCCATAATACTTGCGAAAGCTCGCCTCAATTTTCCTGATGATCTCATCATCAAATCCTGACATGGTAACAGCAAAATAATTATAAAAGTATAAACTTCCAAACAAAAAAGAATCATCAAAAACGGTTCATAAACAACGGAATAATCTACAAACAAATAAAAAAAAAACATCTGAGTTCGAATTGAGAAACCTCTTTTTAGGAATGCGATTTAAAAATAAGAAATAAAAAATAAACATACCTCTATTTTTTAAATGTTAATCCATATAAAATAAACTAACTAAATTATAGTTCACATTTAATTTCAAATCTTTATTTAAGTATATTATTTATTCGGTATCCATATTATTAAAATCGATTTGTATTTAGGTATTTAAAAAAAATACTAAACACGTGCCCCACGTCCCTAATCTTTCCACAGACTGCAAGAAAATGTAAGAAGTACCTACATAGATAACAAAATAATTTAAATAAGATAAGGCTACAAGTACTTTGCTTGATACTTAGGCTGTATCAGGCTGTATATCTATCTACAATGTTTTGTAGTAAGACGTCACAATGCACGAAGACGAATTAAAAACATTTTTGTTATGGTACATACACGTCGGCAAACGAGCAATCGGTGCCATGGATACCCGCAACAACAAAGGAGTTACGAGTTCGTTGCCAACCTTTTGGAGATAAGGGATTTGTTTGAATTGATTTATATAGTTAAATACAAGCGCTTTGATACAATGATACCGTTAGTCAAAATCGCATTTTCCTTATAAGTGACGTTACGGGTGGTTCAATCCAACATCCACAAATCCCCATTCCTTAATTCCTCAGGGCTATCTATAAATTACGTGAGGTGATTAAGGGAGGGAAAGGGTCAGGTCAAATCGTATCTAATTTTGGGGAAAGGGGCTGTCTCGACTTTTTTATTCTGTTTAAAAATTATCTACCTAGGTATTAACAGACAAAAAAATATTAATAGGTATAAATATACCTACATAGTTATAAAAAATATATTAAAGTATTCTATTGTTATTTTTTTATTACATGACATATACATATATTACATATAAGTCTTAGAAATATTGAATACTAATGTTAATATAAGTAGTCGTAAATAAAACAACGAAGCAAATTGTTTTTTTTTCTTTAAACAATAACTATCCAACGTTTCACGTACTAAGCTCCACATTCTGAAAAATCTAATGTGAGATTGAGGGTTGGGGGAAGGGGTTGAACAAAATCTCACGCGTCTCACCAAGTGGGAAGGAGGGAGACCGAATTTTTTTTTAATTTAAGGCTTTAAATAATGCTATAAAACTGCGAAATACTGGCGTGGCTACTAAATGCACCGTGTTCGATTTTTGAATTGATTTCGTACGGAGAATCTTTCTCTGTATGTAGGTTTTTTTTGTGAGGGGAAAACCACTAAATGACTTTTCCCGCCCAGGGTAAGACGAGATAAAGTGTCAGACTCTTACTGACTAAAAACCTCTCCGTTCCTTCTCCTGTTTTAGCCCGACGCCATGGTGCCAGATTGCGCACTATCTAGCTTACTTATAATACAGTTTAATGACAGATGAATTGCGTTGTCTTAGTAATAGGATTACCAATTTACCCTATGGGCATGAAATTACCTAAAATTGCAATTTTAATAAATTATCTACGATGTATTAAACAAAAACCAATAAAATAATTAAAATATTTCGCAAGATATGTATGCGTAGGTAATTGCGTACAACATCCATAGATAAAGGTGAAATACTTTTATCAAAATTATCCTTGACTTATATGATAAATAAGATAATAGATATGTAAAAAAATATTTAATTTACATTTAGAATTTGTAATAGAAAATGGAAGACTGACACTATATATTCAAAATTTTGTTTGACGTTCAAAAGTGCCTGTAAATGTCTAATTGGAATAAATTATTTTTGCATTTTTGTCTTTGACTGATCTGTCAAAAAGACATAGAAATCATGACGATTGTGGATTGTGGATGACCAGGCGGCCTACGTCTGTTTTTGCTATTATTGTAACTGTTTTTTTTCTTCTTTTTGCATAATTTCTTTTTAATAATTTAAGTTCATTTTTATTATACTAGGTTAAGACTCACTGTCGTATTGGGAACATAACCTGTAATGACTGCACGGTTGGTGCGGTGGCTGGGCAACTGACTGCCGCGCAACGTGTCGCGGGTTCAACCGCACGGAACAACTCTTTGTGTGATCCACAGATTGTTGTTCCGGGTCTGGGTGAGATGTGCGTGTGAAATTGTATGTTTGTAAACGCACCCACGACACCGGAGAAAATCCTAACGTTTTTTTTAAATGAGAGTGTAGCAAAATGAAGATTTTTTGTTGTTAATAAATAAATAAATAACTTCTTTATCGAATTAGGTTCAACGAGATGAGAGAGAGAGAGAGAGAGAGAGAGAGAGAGAGAGAGATTGAGATGTACCCAAGTGTCATTCATAAATAAATATAAATTTTGGAGTGATTCGTATTAGCTGTTCTGCAGTTAATATCATAAACAATATATTTTTATTTTATTTTCTTAGTAAACATGGGTCACAAGTACATACATTGACCCTTAAAAAGGTTTTCATTGAATGTCAAATACTTTTAAGGTTGTTTAAGGCCACAGTGAAACGAATGGAAATACCAAACGGTTTAATAAAATTACAATTGTTTTGTGTCCTAATTCGCTCCCCATTTACACTGTAGGTACTAATTAACTATAGTTTTTTTTTTATTTAGTAGGTTGGCGAACGGGCAGATGGATTACCTGATGGTAAGCAATCAGCGCCGCCCATGGACACCCGCAACGAAGGAGTTACGAGTGCGTTGCCGACCTTTTAGGGATTAGGGACTTGGAGATTTAGGGATTGAGGAGGGATTGGGGGAGGGGAAGGATTGGGCCTCCGGTAACCTCACTCACACGGCGAAATATAACGCTATGGTTGTTTCACGCCGGTTTTTTGTGAGGCCGTGGTATCACTCCGGTCGAGCCGATTCATTCGTGCCTAAGAAGGGCTCGCCCACACTTTCACTCACTTTTTGAAATTTCGAAAAAGTAGGTATTGTAGTTGTAGGACTAATTGTCATCATCGAACTTTTTATGCCATAGGAGAAATTTCCGATCACATTGATAACCCGATGGTAAGCAATCAGCGCTGCCCATGGACACCCAGAGCACCAGATTAATTTCAATTGCGTCATCAGCCTCGGATTGGAACTCCGATAACTGCACTCTAACGACGTTTTACGTGACTTCGTCAAATCATTCGTTCCACATCATTCATTCATTGATTCTTACTGAATGGACTCTCAATCGGAGTCATTCGTGACAGCGGTCAGGGTCGGCATTGGGAAGAGGCTCTAGGTCAAATTGGTTATGTAACAAAAAAAGTAATAATTTGACCTCATTGGTTCACTGATTATCAGCACGAACGTTGAACGCGACGTTCTGTAAAGTCACTGCGTCGGAAGAAATGTTGAAAAAACTGTTTTGGCAAATTTACATCTTGAGGAAAGGCCTACAATTAATGGCAATGTTAGACGCGAGGGTTTCCTCCTGTCTGATCTGGCGTTTGCCTGGTGTCTTCGAGGAACCACCACCACAGACGGAGCCCTATAGGGCTGATGTTCAGCCGGGGTTGCGGGGTAAGCGCAATGAGCAGGAGAAGGAACAGAGGGTTTTTAATCAGAAAGAGTCCCGAAATCATTGGATGATATTCCCCTCAAAAAACTCCTTAAAAATGTTTACAAACTATAATATTTCTGCTACTTTTATAATAATACTAGCGGCCCGCCCCGCTTCAACTTCGCGTCCAACTATCTCACTATCAAAGGGTCACTTTTTACTAATCTTCCATTCTACTTTTCTAATATTTTATTTGATAAGAACCTTCTCCTGACAATAACAAACACAACAAAAAAAGAATTAGCAAAATTGGTCCAGGCGTTGTTGAGTTATGCGCTTACCAACACATTTTGCGATCCATCTTTATATATAAGAAGAAGAAGATAAAATAAAATAAATATTTACGAGGGACATCCATCCCGGATAACAATCGTTATAAGTATGTCGTCGTATCCGAATAGGTACCTATATTCCGTTCTTTATTTAGTTTTTCCTTTATCACCATCATTCAATTGCTTTTAACCATTGTCTAATATCTTTGACAAAACAAATAGCATCCATAGACATGACATAACTGGTTATACATATATAGGTACCTACAGTTATTAGTTATGGTCCACGGCTGCATATAATAAGCGTGAATGCAATTACCTATTTATTCTCATTCAAATAGCCACGCCATTTGTCGCAATCACGTACACAAAAACAATTAATCTTTTAAAACATAAGATATTTTATCTATATTTGTATCTGTACTCAGCTTCGTATGGGAGCAACACTGATACTTAGTTTCTTCATAATATAATGGATGTTATATATATTTCTATACTAATATTATAAGGAGGTAAAATTCGTAAGTTTGTATGTAGCGGGTAATCTTTGGAACCGCTGCGCTTCTTTCACTGGTAGATAGCTACAAGGTTTCTGAGTGCTATAGGCTATAAAACATCACGCTACGATCAAATGGAGCCGAGCAGCGGGTGAAACATATTGCATATAAGCCTTCCTCTTCAATCAATCTATCTATTAAAATACTGCAGCAAAATCCGTTGCGTAGTTTTAAAGATTTGAGTAGCTTTCTCTGTCCCTATATCCCTATGTATGTTAACATCTTTAAAACTACGCATTGGATTATGATGTGGTTTTTTAATAGATAGAGTGATTGAAGAGGAAGGTTTTTCTAAACTAATATTATAAAGAGGTAAAATTTTTAAGTTTGTATGTAGGGGGTAATATTTGGAACCAATGGTCGGATTGCTAAAATTGTTTCACTGACAGATAGCTACAAAGTTTCTGAGTGCTATAGGCTATAAAACATCACGCCACGATTAAATAGAGCCGAGCAGAGAGTTGCTAGTATGTATTATAACATTCATTAAATAGTGGAGAAATTTAGTAAGTATCAGTTTTGCACCCGCGCGAAGCCTGGGCGGGTCGCTAGTTTTACTGTACAATTTTAATGATCATGCATTGTTATCAATATTTTATTGATAATTTTATGGCACCGACTTTACACGTGTTAAGTAAGTAGCTAATAATATGTCAATATTGTTAGGTTTGGGTTGATGAAATAAAACTAAGTTTATTTATCAAATAGCAGAGGTGGAATTTATTATTATACTTTAGGAGGTGTGTGTTGCCTGAAGGCGTTAGCAGAACAGAATGAGGGCGAGATGCAAACATCTAAGTGAGGGTTAGCTGGCCACTTAAGGCACTTATAATAGTGGCGTGAGAATAATGAGTAGATTGATTTTTGTTATTCCAACACGCCCGCT